TTTAAGTTTTGTGACTAGTTAAATTCATTGCCAAATTTTAGTGTAGAGCAAGTTTTTTAAAGTTTGGAATATTTTGATTCAGTAGAACTTACAGTTTAACTAGAATTTGACTAGTCTTATCATACTTTTTGACATTAACAATTTATTAAAGAAAACCCTGTATTGTCTTTTTACATTGTTGCATGTCCTTTTTCTTTTCTTACAAAGTGAGCTTTTTTTAAAAAAATGTTTATTGATCGTTCCCAGAAATGTAAATGACAAAAATCTGTTGGCAATACTGTGGTAGACATCATCTGGCAGGTGGACTTATAAACTAAGCAGCAACGATGATTGATGGTGTTCTAAAGTTAAACGCTAGCAATTGAAACAGCTGTATAACTGCCGATTGTATTTCATTTTAGTTAAAAGAAACTGAATTCTGTGCAGTGTTACCTACTACTTAAGTTGTTTGGGACCAATTGGTAGCAATAAATGATGAACCTAGGGACTAAGTTGTCACCATTGCTTTCTGTTTACATGATGCTTCCCAGTTTGTTTATATACTTTCTAGTTAGCACATTTGACAACTTTTGAAATCTCTATTTATTTGTAGTTGCAGATATTGACGGGAGTACTTTCTGGAGTCACCCTTTCAATAGTTTGTGCCACCCCAAACAACTTGAAGAGTTTATTGTGATGGAATGCAGTATTGTCCAAGATCTAAAACGTAGTGCAGGTGCTGGAATGATATCAAAAAAGGTAAGTTTCAGGTCTCCCTGGTGGTGCAAGGGTTTAAAGTGTAGCACTATGAAGCCATTACAGCACAAATTCTATACCCAGCCAGGAAAGTGACCCATATGGTGCAGACTTCTCCTGTCTCCCGCACTGCTCCCTTAAGCAGGTATTTTGATCAGTCCACCTGTTCTGCTTCCCTCTTTGTCTCAGGTGAATCTTCTCCCCCCCCTTGTCTCTGGCTTGTACCCCAGTATAAGTCCATCTTTTAAAAAAATTAAAAATAAATTCAAATATTGTACCAAATAAACAATATCGTTACATACTATTTCATTATGTATCTCTAAGCTCATAATTTAGCTATGTTATATTATGTCTAAGCTATAATCAGACTGCCTTATTTGTCTCAAAGTTCTTTTTATAGTTTGTTCAAATTAATATGTTGTTGGGTCATACCTTGAATGTTAATGTCATGTGTCTTAATAAATCTTTCATTTGAAAATGGCACTCCTCTTCCTTTTCTTTTTGATTTGAACTTCCCTAACTAGAGAATATGTCTTGTGCATTTATTGTTTCTGCATGTCATTTAATTTGCTTATTGGTTTCTTTTAAAGTGGAAAATGTGTCTATATGCTTGCTTGAGTTTATTTTTTCCCAGAATATTTCAAAGGTAATACTTGTGCTTTTCATAATATAACAAAGTAATGTTTGACTCACTCATTGTATTGTAACTTAAATTTTTTTTTCTGTTTGCTAGCCTCTCTACTTCCTCCCTTCTTTCCTTTATCCTTATTTCCTCTCAGACTGCTACAAATTTAGCCCCTTCAGAATGGTTTAAAAATTTTTTCCTAAATTTCTTTAGAACATTTTTAGTACACAACAAAAGTAAGAGGAGGTACAAAAAATCCAATATAAC